TAGCTGTTCACAAGCCGACTCGGATAGACTGGCTGTGCTGGAATGGAATAGTAGTAGTAGTAGTAGTAGCAGTAGTAGTAGCAGCAGTAGCAGTAGCAGTAGCAGTAGCAGCAGTAGCAGTAGGCGTCGTCGTTGTCGTCGTCCTCCTCCTCCTTTTCGTCGTTTTCGTTGTATGAAAGTGAAACACGCGATTGAACCATGATCCACGGTCATCAAGCGGGAAACCCCCTCATCTCGTGACCTTGATCCAGCTTGCTTTCAGCTTTTACGCTCGCGCCGTTCTGAAGCGGGAAATGCTGTCTAGGACTTGAGGATGTGCTGACCTTGAACTTTTTGAGCTTGGGTGAGCGACCACCATGGATCACAAGTTGATATTCTCACATGTGCATCACCTGGTGCAGAAAAAAGCCAAAGAACAAAAACTATGCTTGCCAAGTCTTCCAAGCTGCACCCATAGTTGATGGCGCAAAACTGCACCTGGAGTCGTCAGAAGCACACGGATGCAATGGAGGGCTGGATTACAGATCAACGTAAAACATTTGTGCACACCAAGCCTTCGAGAAAACACATTTGCAACGATCAGCTTGCAGCCGAATGCATCGGCTGGTCCTTCATGTTTTCATAGCCTGACACGCATCCAAAGATGGCGCTGGAGCTCCATGCAAAAACCCGCTATGGCCTCCCACTTCAAAACAATGGGACCAACCCCCGCGCAGCATTTGCAAGGGCCAGGGGCAGGGACTCTGTCTATCATACGCGAACTGAGCCAAACAAAAAGTCGCACGATGCCACTATGAAAAAAAAAACAGAATTGTTGAGTGGCAGCTGCGCAGCTTGAAGGCCCCAAAGGGGCCACCATCACCAGGCACTGTGGAGAGCATAGCAATAACAAAATCAGCAAGTCTTCATTTTCCTTTGTATGCAAAGACCGGGAGCGAATATATTCCCATTCGCAGGAGATGTATACATGTAAAGTTTCAGACTATCAAATCACAAGCAGGAGCATTCTTTGACATGATGGGGAACAGCGATCAAGGCTTGTAACCACCTCACGACGTCGGGGCTAGGCCCACGTTTTCGTGGCAAATCGGCAAACAGAGAGAGACATCATGACATCGACAGATTGACAGACCGATTCACGGACAGATCCCCCACGCTAAAGGGGGAGAGGCGCAGGAAAATGGAACTTCCAAAGCTTCGCCTCCCCATCAGAATGTTGCGGGCACCCATGTTCCACAAGTGCTCGCCTCTGGCCCCCAACTGATGCATGAAATTGGCTCCTCGAGCGCAACGCAATACTGCGGACTTTCAACCCCACGGCTGCAACATGAGGGAACCATAATGGAACTATGAACCCGCCGCCTCTCCGGTTCCATTTTCCCAGACACGACACATCCCACTGCAATTCACGACAGAAAATGGAACCTGACAGTTGGTATCTAGGCGGCGGGCCCCTTGCAAATTCCATTTCCTTAGGGTGGGGGATACGGACAGACAGACACCCCGGCAGCCTCATCGCTAGATTCATTTTTTGAAAGATTGATAGGCTGCTAGACCGACGGACCTGCTTTTTCAGACCGCTTGTCGGAGACATTGATAGACTGAAAGACTGACGAACAAACAGACTTCAGAGAACGTTAGATCGACAGAATGAGAGACCGACAGATTACCGAAAAAAAACTGACAGATCCACTGACAGACTCATAGACCGACAGACCCACAGACCATCAGAAACATAGTGGCCGCGCCGTTTTATTGAGGTATTATGAAATAGAAGCCGATGGATGAATATGTTTCGAATGTTTTCATTTTTTTTCGATTGAATCAATTTCTCTTTCTAGTACATCTTCAGAACATATCCATACATCTACTGATAAAATCAATTGCCGCCGCCTCGACTTGGGAATATGCAATTGTGACACAACTTCCGCTTACATGAGTCAGTTTGAAGAGAACTTTTGCTCGCTTCATCTCTCTTTGCCAGTATATTGCGCCGAATGCATCTCGCTTAGGAGAAGCCAAAATAGAACCTCAAATGCAGAAATCACAAGAATCTGGGCTGATTTGGAAAACAAAGGAGACCCTAAAGCTAGCTTGCAATCAGGCGTCAGGTTGCTGTAGACCTCAAGCCCAACAGTGATCATGTCTGCCTCGCTGGAGAAGTCCGGTCTTCCTGCAGGCGCTTCAGAAGGGATGTGCAAAGGTCAAAATTTGCTTCGGAGAGCAGCAACTACACATCATGGATGCAGCGCTTCCCTCTTGGTATGAAGCCAAGCTTCGAAAATCGCAGCCTTGGTTGTCAAGGAACAAATTTTCCGCCCCCATGCGCTTTCTATGCAGGGCAACACCGGGCAAAACTATTACCGGGTACCACCACTCCCAACAAAAACGCCCCCTCATGCCACAACCAGACTGCCAAATCATGTTTCGGCTATTGGGAGCAAGGCCTTTCTGTACAAGAGCTTCGCTTACTGAGTGGGAACATTGAGCTGCTTGGTGGAAAGATATGCTTTTGCCAGCTGAGCCCTGTGCTAGTTTTATGTGAGCTGCCAAGGGACTGAACTTCTGGCCAAGCATTACCTTGGTGCCGCTCCGCCGATCGTTCAGAAACAACTCGAACTTCAATTTGGCTTTGTCCTGCAATTCTGAAGCTCAGCACGTCCGAATATCATAAGGTTGTACTATGAGGTCCGCTTTACTGTTTGCGACCATAATTCCATCGTACATTTTGTCTCGCTGACTTGTCCCGTCCTCACAAAGCACGCCAACAGCGCAATCGCCTTCTCCCGTGAGCGCAGCACCGGCCGGAAAGAAAATCATTCTTAGAGGCACACCTTTCATGAGCCCAGGCATCTTTCATTCAACAAAAATGCATGGAGACTGCAACCCACAGTGGCCTGCCACCACAAATCTGGGGCTCTCAACGCCTGTACAAACATACTGAGAGCATCATCAGGCCGGGTGCAAACAATCGATACGGCTTTTCGTTAAGTGTGCAGCGCAGCTGCGGTTTTGAAGATGTGCTGCTGCAAATGCGCTTGTGGATCAGGTATATCAGGTTCAGGGCCCGCAAGGCCAGTGCTGTTCTGCGGGGAAACCCTTTTCAGGCTGCCAGACATGGTCAACCCGAAGCTTTGCTCTCCATCTGGTTGATGCATCGCCGAAAGGAGAAGCTTTGTTGCAGCCCTGCTAGAACCTTCCACGGTGGTTAGCTTGCAGGATGGTAGTTCTCATAGGGCTGTCATGCCGCTCCCAAATGTGTATGGAAGTCTATACGGGCTTACCCACCCGTGTCAGACACACTCACTGGCAAAGGCTTTTTGGGTCTCCAGGCTTCTTCGACATGTGTGGGAAGTTAGCTGGCTACTGTTCACCTAGCCTTCCAAGATCGCAGCAGGGATGAGTACTGTGTTTCTACAGAGTACAGCACCTGCAGGGCAAGACGGTGCTGGTTGCCAGCACAGCAAGATAAAACGGCCATGTCATGGGAGATGATGCTTGTCTCCATGCTGACATTCTGCATCCAAGCATACAGCTCCAGGGCGGGTAGCCACGAGTGCTCATTAGAACAGGATGACAGCAAAGCGTTGCAGGTTATCTCGTTGGGCTGCAGACTGCTGGCCAATGCCAGGTCAAAGACTGCCATGGCCTTGCCTGATTGCCCTCTCTCAAATGCAGCCAATGCTGCATTACACGTGACGAGGTCGGGCACGAACCCTTCGTTCTGCATGGAACCAAGCATAGATGTGACCTTAAGTGTCTCACAGGGCAATGCACCTGACTCGTCACTCACAGTGATCGGAAGTCTTATCCCCATCCTAAACACAAAAGCACACTACATGTCCAAGTCACCATGGACCAGTGTTCTGCACGTGCACATGCGCTCACAATAGAATTAAGATGTAAAAGACTGACCGTATGTTGGTTGTTTGGCCTGTCGGTCCTCAGCATGCGCAATCTATGCAACGAACGTCGCCATTGCAGAACCTTTTCGAACACGTTCGACACAGAGGTGTGCGTGATCACATCTTCCTTCAAGGTCAGGGATCTCATGCACCTGAGTATGGAGGATGCCTCCTGCCACCCCCCACTTTCAAAAGCCGCTAGTGCTGAGTTGTACGTCGCCACGTTTTGCTGCAGAGGTGAGGAGGTGCAAGAGTCCAGGCAGCTTAGCACTTGGATCCAGTGGGTCGCTTTGGCACACGAAGCAACGAGTGCGTTGCAAACAGGCACGTCGGCTTGCACAGAGATGGCCCCCATACCCGCCAAAAGTTTGGCAGCGGTGCTCCAACGGGCACTTTTCTGGCAAGCACTGATGCTTGCGCTCAACGTAATAACATTCAGCGCATGGCCATCATTGCCAATTCGCGACAGGAGCTGAAGAGCTGCAGGCCAAGATGCAGCTGCTTTCTCGCAACCGCTCATGGCCGCACCACAACTGACGACCGAAATCTGCATCTTTCGCATCTTCATCTGCTTCATGAGCTGCCATGCCCCAAACCAGGATTCCACCTTCGTAGAGCTGCTCAAAGCCGCACTGCAGGTCACGACCTTGTCCAGTTTGCAATGTGGTCAAGAAACTAACGCTATTGTGACTATTATTGATGAGGGCAAGCTCAGGTGCGAGCATTCGGTCGGCAGGAGCACCAGCACATACTCTCCAACTCAAAAATGGCATCACACCACTTGGTGCCTTTATCTAAGGCGGTAATTGCTGAGTTGAAGGTGATGCTGTCCTGAGAAAAGAACAGAAACTAACGTTTTCAAGCCAATTGCACGGCATGTTCAATTTTTGGCCGAGGCTCTGCCAGGATGGTCGCGTGTCTCATGCCATCAAGGAACACAGCGACACTTTGCCACTGTGGAAAATTCTCTGAAGCGCTTATGATCGAGTTGTGGGAGAAAGCGTCGGCCTGCATGCCACTTAGCTTGAGCTTGCCCAGCAGGTGCAATGCGCTCTGCCAGCGTCGGCCCTTGTCACATGCGCTGGTGGCAGCATTGTACGTGATCGTGCTGCTTCGCACAGAAGAGGCAGCGAAGTCCGACAACACACTCAGAGCATACCTCCACTGAAAACCGCTGCATTTGCTCAAGGCTGCCGTGCATGCGAGGACACCGCGCTGTCCAGAGTAGAGGAGATGTAGGGCCGCTTTCCAAGAATTGGACTTCTTGATCCTCTTGTGTAGGTCCAACTTCGGGATCCGCAGGTCAGGCTGGCGCTGCTTGCGTCCCAGCATCTCCGAAGCTGTGTGTTCATCTGTGCAGCAGGCTGTGCCCTCACGGCAAGCATGGACAGTCCGCTGAAACTTGCGGCGCTGAGGCCGCCCAGGGCAAATGGCTGCCTACTAGGCCAGGGATGCTAAGGCAGCTCTCTACTCAATACTTTAGTTTGATTGCGGAATGGGGCTGTGATCCTAGAATTAGAAAGACACAGTGTCCTGCCTGTGTTCTAACGGCTGCCACGCCCACAACTTGTGTGCAAGTTGCGTTTGCAACATTTGGGCAGTTGCCTTGTGCTGCCTTGGCCAAAAGTTGCTGCAAAACCGTAGTCCAGCAGTTCGGCAATTTGAATCAGCTCCACATGACAACCCCAGCGGCCAGGAGATTCGTTGCTTGGCTAAAATGCTGAAATTTGGAGGTTACTCCTCAATATAAGGCTTAGGGGTATGTTGTGGTATATTATGGTAGAAATAGGGTATATTGTAATAATAGTACCTTAGAGTATAATATATTATCCCGTTCCTGGGAGTAATGCTGTCTCAGCCTTCGCCTTGAGGCCACTCGTCCAGCAAGAAGAGATCATTGCAGCTCTGGCCTTGCTTGAACTGGGATTATCTCTTAGGTTATAAGTATGGGCCCCTCATATGGGCCTTAACCTTTTTCAGGGACCCTTAAGGGTACATATAGGGTATGTAGTAGGTATACAAGGATCCCAGGGTTAAAGGCCCATACTAGGGGCCCATGGTTTCAACCTTAGATTATCTCTTAGGTCAGCCATGTTTAGCCAAGGATTGGGCAATCTCTTCCTGTCAGTGTCCAATGGAGCTTGCGGCCATGCACGCTCAGCACGCCGGCGCAAGAGCCAGTAGTTGCGGATGGACATGTGCTACTGGTCGCGCAGCCAGTGCCTGCAACGCAGTGCAGTGCACAAGAGATGTAGATCTGGGGGCCCCATCACAGTATTAGTATTACCATTGTTTTCATTATTGCTATTATTGTAAACTAATCCTATCATTACTACTACTATTATTATACTATTATTGTAAATTGTTATTGCTATTCTCATTACTACTACTATTGTTACTACTGCTATTCCAGCTGCTTTCCTGGCCTGTTAGCTCGCTATGGCGAGATGGCTCCTCTGTGGTGGCGGCTTGGCTGCTGCCGCTGAAGCTTGCATGGCTGTGCGAGAATAGCAGCCTGAGCTTGAACGTCAGCCATACAAGGCAATCTGCGCAGCTCTTCTCAGAACTTCTGGGCTAGCAACTCCTTCTCCGGGGATTCCTTGGCCGTTGCACAAAAGGATTCTGGTGCCGACGCAACGGCCACAGTTTTGCGGCCAAGCTTCTGGAAGGTTGCCGTCATCTGGAGCTTCCTTTCCGGACCTTTGACCACTGCTCCAGCAATGTGTGCACAAACGTTGGGTACCCAAGGGAATTTCATTCTAGCTCAAATTCTATCGGGCTTCGGAGACAAAGGCAGCGAATGCATGGAGTGCGCAGCGAGCTCAGGCATCTCTTCCAAGAGCTGAGGAGTCAGAAACGTTTCCTGACGATTGCATAAAGACGGCTGATTAACCTCACGACCCTTTACCTACCGCTCTCAGAGGAAAGGCCTCATCAACATAAGTGACAATCGGTGCCGTTTCAGTGCACTCTGGCATCGCAGCACCGTACCTAAATTCAACAAGTCAGCATCGCATGTCCATGGAAATGGCGGCCATATACGTGATGATACTGTCAGCAGCCAAGAATTTCAAGGAAGGGGCTCTGCCACTGGCGCGCTGTGGTCTCGACCGGCTTGCCAAACCTCCCGGGCCACTGAAAAATGACATTTTCTATCTGCGTCGTGCTACTCGCACAAGAAGCCTGGGCATACCTACAGAAATATTGAAAACCCCTGACCACAAAGTCTGACCAAAGGTACCTCTGAGAATCCAAGGCGGCACGCCTCCCAAGGCGGCACTGTCTGCCAGGCTGTCACATCCTCTCAAAACAAGGGCCAACTGTAAGCACAACTTCCCAAGTGCAGGTACCTTTTGCTTCACTTGTAACTAGCCATGACTTCTTCTGGCTGTGGTCGCTTGTTTTCAACACTTTTCAACTGCTGGAACCTGAAATGCTTTGATTTGGGCAGGACCCTCAACACAACTGGAGAACATGTCCTGTGCACCAGGAACAAATGCTGGACTGTCTGCAGACAACCCGCTTGCAGCCCCGACTCCACCACCGTACCTGGGGCCAACATACCGATTACGGGGAAGCGGACTTGAAGTGCTTCGTAGTGAAGCAAGAAGCTATTTGAGCTTCATAGTCCGAGAGCCCGGCATTGACGGATGTGAGCTGCCTGTCCACGCGTCATCATTGGAGGCAGCAGCAAACGGCACAAACTCCGCGGCGTCAACGCGCATTCCTCCCACGAGCCCGAGAGCCAAGTCACACAGCTGAAGCGCGGCACGCTATTGTACTCGTTGCCCGTGCCTCTTCCTCGAAACCCCAACAGCACATCAACGTATCTTTAAGCCCTCGAGAGCCACAATATAAGTGCGAATTTGCGACAAGTCGCAAGCTACATGTTGCCAGCGAAAACCTTCCTCTGATCAACACATGCTTTTCCGAACGCTGAACGCTGGTCGCAACTGCGATTGCAAGACAGGACATGCTTGAATCGCGAGTAGTCTCAAATCCAGATCTGAGGGGCAAGCATGTTTAGGTTGACTAGTGCGCTGGCGCATCACGTCCTGGAGCTGATACGACCGAAAATCCGGGTCCTTGCCACGGACCCTGGGTGAAACAGAATAAGTCACAAAAGGACAGACTGAAGCTGTACTTTGGTCAGCACATCGCCGCCGAATATCCAGAAACACTGCAATCATCTCCATTTCACTGAAGAGCACAGCGACCGTCAGTGCACAAACTCAAGGTTAGCCAGGTCTGGCAGAACCTCGCGGGCTTTGCGGCACTTTGTGCTGCTCCGACCATTCCTTGCCGGAGTCGGTAAAAAAGCCAAGCTTTTGTTCCGGGTCCTGCACCACGTCATTCACGCTGCCAAGTGAACGCGCCTGTTTTGATTTGCTGGATTGGCAATTTGCAGTCCTGACCGCCCACAAGCTTCGCAATTTTGGGATTGGCTGCAGCCCAGTCCATCAGAGTAGGTGCCCTGAAAGCAGCACAGCTACTAGCAAAACTGCGCTGCTCTAGCAAGTGCTCCAGCTTTGACGCCGAGAAGCTGCTCAGGTTTTCCGCGGCTGAGAGCGAAAACTGTCCAGAAGATGTCCTGGCAGAAGCGATACGACACTGAGTCGGCAACGCCAGTGTTTGTGCGATAATTTCCGGCAGAAGTTGCTGCTTGAAAGACTTGAAAATTCTTTCTGAACCCATGCTGAAAGCTCAGAGGACTGCTTCGTTAAAACCGGCCGCGCAGCCCTGCACTCTACGGAAGATTCGGGCTGCGCGTCTATAGGGCAGCAAGCTCCGTCCTCTCCGCAACTGAGCTCAGCCTCCTTTTGGCTGATGCTTCCGCCACCAAGTGCAACAACTTGTTTAGCTCCACTCGCCTCCATTCCAAGGTGACTTTGCAGCACCACAAAACCCTACCAGCCTAGCTTTGCCTCGATAGCCAGGCGGCCGAGCATCACATACCGCTGACGTGCTGGCGGCATGTCCCTTGGCAGCATGTGCTGATGTCAGGAGGCAAGAAGAACTCATGAAACTAAGGAGTTGGCTTCAGTTCCTCTTCATAGCGCCTAAGGCGATCCATGAGGTTCTCAGGGTCAACGGGCACAACGGCCATGCGGCCGGGATGTGCAGAAGCGACCTGCAAACAGCGGCACCCCCAACGCATCACCACAGGTGTCACAACTGACTGGCACAAAAATTCGAGAATCTGGTGAATGTGATTTCACAAGGTAGCACACCAGCCTGCGAGAGTTTACATTAGGGCAGTTTGAACCAAATATGCTTTTTATTCGTGGCTCCTGATCTCTCTGCAAAGAACGGCTCAACATGGGAGTTTCTAAAAACAGGGGAGCCCCGAGTAGACGCCTGATCTACTATAGTCCGCCAAAACGGGACCCCTTTTGCAACAGGCTTCAGATCCGCCCGCGGACCCCTAATTCATGGACACCCCCAGCTAGATCGCGAAAGACTGAAAAAAGCGCTGTTCACGCCTCCCTCCAGCTTTGGCTGAAGCTCTCCAGGGAATCGCCTATCCTGTTCAGGCTGATTTGATTCGGGCTTTCGCAGGTCTGTATGGGTGGGTGTCCCCAACATTTGGTATTTTTTGACTGGGATATCCTGGAGAAGTAGTATTGAGGCGTGCAAGTCAAGCCACAGCCAGCCTGAATGCAACGACTCGCCCATTGTCTCTGGATCTCAGGTACTGAGGAATCAGTCTGGTGAAGCTTGTCTCTTCATAATCATCGCCATCCCACACCTTGGGGAAAGTCGAAAGTCATTGCTTTCATGCTGCTGGATCGAAACACAAACACATCAGCCACGGCACCAGCAAAGAGCATTGGCTTGCTGCGGCTACTGCCTCCTTCCGAGACCAGGCAATGTTTGCAATCTATGCTTGCCCGAGACTAAGCGTGGATGCACACCTTGCAAAGTGTGCATGATGAGGTCGGACCTCCGCACTTCTACATTCAGAAAGCCGAACTCATCTGTGGAGCTTCAACTATGGCGCGAGAGAAGCCCCAGCAGGAACACACATAAATTTCATTGCCATCTTTCCAGCAGCGTTGAGATTCGCAACCCTTGTCTCAGACACTGCGTGACTGCTCTGCTGCCTTTGCCCTTGCGGAGACGAATCCCGAAAGCTGCAGTCTCTGGACTGCGTGGGAACTTAGTGAGGTGGTCACCGCGTAAATACTTGAAAACTTTGGATGACACCAAAGGCTCTCCGGCCACCTACTCCATCCCGTGATCCTTTCGTGATGGGCGCCAGAAAGGGACTGTGATGCATGACTGCTGCAAGATCAGGATAGGGATGTCCATGAAAAGGATTCGAAGATATCAAGATGCTGAACAATGACGGAAAGAATGCTTCTTGAGGCATGATGGCACTAGCAAGACTGCACCAATCACACATACCTGGCGCCAGCTTCGGCCAACAAGAGGTCCTTGTCAAAAAAGTCCGGTACGTCCGCACCGAAGCCTTTTAGATGCAGCACCTGGACAGTTCTAGGAATCACAACCCCAGATGGGACAGACAAGAACACTCCCACGGCCACTGCTGCTTTTCCGGTTGCCATAAATTGCAGTTTCGTGTTCCGTGCACGATGACTGCGCCTTGGAGAACAAGCCCTGCCTACAATGGTCTCTCTGGTCTGAGATCTGTTTTGGCTTTTAAGGAATACATACAGGTGCAACATGGCACTAAAAGCCTGATGAAAGCACTGTATTGACCTGATGAAGACATGCGGCCCCGAGTTCAAATAATGGCGGTAGATCCCCTGAGTCTGTGCAAATTCTGCCTCATCTGGTCGGACCCATGCTGCATCCAACCAGGCGCGGAAGCACTCAAAGGGAACCTGTGAGTGAGTGGTAGATTTAGTTTGAAATGGCTCGCATGCCATGGTCTTCTCTTCATGCCAGATAGATTAGAAAAGGAGTAGCATAGACCAACGAGAAGCATGCTTAGTCTTTAGTGAGACACTGGTGGTGGGTCGTCCTAAGATTGGGGATGCTGCGCGTACGATGGACCGGCTGAAATCGACGGCCAAAAATCTGAAAACTGCAATGCGAAGCGAACAGCAACAGAGTACAGCGATGTGTTAGCTCTCCACAGGGGGATTGAACCTTGACCGGATAATGTGGCGCGCCTTCTCGATGCAAGCATCTTCGTCTGCATCGGTCATTTGCACATTCTGATGGGCAAGATTATTTCAAGAGCGTGTGCTCATATCGAGTCTGCGAATGACAGTGGTTGTGGGCTGAGATTCCTGCAATGTGTCTTGACGTTGGCGTGACGCCAGTTTTCTTCAACACCGTTAGCAGGTTTTCAACACTGCACGTACCTTGTGTCAAATCTAAACTACCAGATCTACAAAGACTGAATCGCCTGTGAGACTGCTCTGAGCCGCAAGTTCTGCATGCATCCCCGGTCGCACCTTCCTTATGCAACAAATGCAAATGTCCTGCGGCACCTCCCTGCCGAATTGATTTTGGCCCAACTTTTTTTTTTGGATTTTTTTCTCGTTTTTTTTTGGGAATTCTCAAATTTTCTCACCAAGCCCAA